AAGCGATTATTTTGTTGTAATACTTTGATTCAAGATGATTTCCGGCTTAAAATTGAGCCAAATCGATTAGAAATAGCACAAATTGCTTCATTTCAGCCTAAAATCGGGATTGAAGAAATTATTTTTGTAAAATACATTCATTTAGAATTAATTATGTCTTAAAATCGGGCAAAATTGGTTTGAAAATAGCAAAAATTGCTTTATTTTAGAAGAAAATTCTTATTCAAGCCATTATTGTGTTGAAATACTTTGATTCAATAAGACACTTCTAAAATATACTGTTTTATTGTAATTTTGACAGATGCAAATAAAAATTAAAAAAAAAATAGGATGGACAAACTTACTTACTTTTACTCTTAGGGTCGTAGGAAAAAACTATTTCAAAATCAAAATGAGTGACTTTGTTTCTAAAATAAAATGTAGAAAATAAGCTCTTTACTGATCCCTCAGAAATTGCTTAAAAAAGATAAAAGTAGAGAAAGTTTTGAAGTTGAGGAAATAAAGGTAAAAAATATGAGAAAGAGAATATTTGACCAAAAAAGGAAGAAGTAGGATTGTTAAAAGAGAAAATCAAAATTAAGAAGATAAAGAAATAACTAAAATCATCACTAAACTTTTTGGGTTAAACTTAAAAAAACAATTCCCATTCTAATCCCGAAAGTGAGGAAATGAAAAACTACTCCATTGACCTCCGAAGCTTCAACAAATGTTTTAATAAAAAGAAAATATAAAAGGAAACTAAAAGAAGGAATGTCGGAGAAGAAAAAAACTATTGAAAGTAGATGTAATTGAAACTGGAAGGAAAATTGGTTTGAAAATTGCAAAAATTGCTTTATTTTAGACGAAAATTATTATTCAAGCCATTATTGTGTTGAAATACTTTGATTCAAGTTGATTTCCGGCTTAAAATTGAGCCAAATCAATTGAAAATATCACAAATTGCTTTGTTTCAGCCTAAAATTGAAATTGAAGCAATTATTTTTATAAAATCCATTAATTTCGAATTAATTCTGGATTAAAATCGAAACATTTTGAATTGAAAATAGCTCAAATTGCTTTATTTGGAAAGAAAACTCTTATTGAAGTCCGTATTTGGTTGAAATACTTTGATTCAGGTTGATTTCCGGCTTAAAATTGAGCCAAATCGATTGAAAATATTACAAATTGCTGTATTCCACCCTAAAGCAATTATTTTTATGAAATACATTAATTTCGAATTAATTATGTCTTAAAATCCGGCAAAATTGGTTTGAAAATAGCAAAAATTGCTTAATTTAGAAGAAAATTCTTATTCGAGCCATTATTGTGTTGCAATACTTTGATTCAAGAAGACCCTTCTATTTATATACTGTTTTATTGTAATTTTGACAGATGCAAATAAAAATTAAAAAAAAATAGGATGGACAAACTTACTTACTTTTACTCTTAGGGTCGCAGGAAAAAACTATTTAGAATCAAAATCAGTGACTTTGTTTCTAAAAAAAATGTAGAAAATAGGTTCTTTACTGATGATGTATACATTCAATGCAAATTGCTTAAAAAAGATAAAAGTAGAGAAAGTCTTGAACTTGAGGAAACAAAGGTAAAAAATATGAGAAAAAGAATATTTGACCAAAAAAGGAAGAAGTAAGATTGTTAAAAGAGAAAATCAAAACTAAGAAGATAACTAAAATCATCACTAAAATTACAGTGTTTTGACAACTTTTTTGGGTTAAACATAAAAAAAATAATTACAAACCTAATCCCGAAAATATTAGTGAGGATATGAAAAACTACTCCATTGACCTCCGAAGCTTCAACAAATGTTTTAATAAAAAGAAAATTAAAAGGAAACTAAAACATGGAATGTCGGAGAAGAAAAAAAGTGTAATTGAAACTGGAAGGAAAATTGGTTTGAAAATAGCAAAAATTACTTTACTTCAGAAGAAAATTCTTATTCAAGCCATTATTGTGTTGAAATACTTTGATTCAAGTTGATTCCCGGCTTAAAATTGAGCCAAATCAATTGAAAATATCACAAATTGCTTTATTTCAGCCTAAAATTGAAATTGACGCAATTATTTTTATGAAATACATTAATTTCGAATTAATTCTGTATTAAAATCGAGGAAATTGAATTGAAAATAGCTCAAATTGCTTTATTTTGAAAGAAAACTCTTTTTCAAGTTATTATTTTGTTGTAATACTTTGCTTAAGGTTGATTTCCGGCTTAAAATTGAGCCAAATCGATTAGAAATAGCACAAATTGCTTCATTTCAGCCTAAAATTGGGATTGAAGAAATTATTTTTATAAAATACATTAATTTAGAATTAATTATGTCTTAAAATCGGGCAAAAATTGCTTTATTTTAGAAGAAAATTCTTATTCAACCCATCATTGTGTTGAAATACTTTGATTCAAGTTGAATCCCAGCTTAAAATTGGGCCAAATCAATTGAAAGTATCACAAATTGCTAAAATTGATATTGAAGCAATTATTTTTATAAACTATATTAATTTCGAATTAATTCTGTATTAAAATAAAAAAAAATTGAATTGAAAATAACTCAAATTGCTTTATTTGGAAAGAAAACTCAAGTCAATATTGGGTTAAAATACTTTGATTCAAGTTGATATTCAACTTAAAATTGAGCCAAATCGATTGAAAATATTACAAATATCTTTATTCCACCCTAAAGCAATTATTTTTATGAAATATATTAATTTCGAATTAATTTTATATTAAAATCGAGCAAAATTTAATTGAAAATAGCTCAAATTGCTTTATTTTAGCCTAAAATTGTAATAGAAGCAATTATTTTAATAAGAAACATTAGTTTTGAATTAATTCTGTATTAAAATCGAGCAAAATTGGATTGAAAACAGCTCAAATTGCTTTATTTTGGAAGAAAACTCTTATTGAAGCCAGTATTTGGTTGATTTTTTGAATTTTTTTAGTGAAATTGTGGTTTTACGACTTACTTGATTCGTGCACAAGCGTTGCTTTCGTCACTGGCGTCTTTGCAGTCGACGCCGCCGTCGCATTCCTTGTCCTCGTCGATGCACTCGCCGGATTTGCACGCAAAACTGTATCTGTTTTTTTCAAATCAAGGAAAAAGATTAACTACGCCACTGGTAGTTGTGTTTTTTTACCTTGGACATTCCTTGGCCTCCCGTCTTGTTATGTTACTGTGGTGGAAACTAAAAGTCTGAACTATCTGCACTGCTAGAATTTATTTACCAAAAATTAAGTGAAGGTTAGGAAGAGAGTTATGACCTCTAAATCACTTACCGAGACATAAACTAATCACTTGAATTAATGTTGCATTGCACATTTTCATAAACAAAGGTTGCGAATGTACTGTTTTATTTTATATTCACTACTATTTCAACATGTTTGTTTATTAGAAAATTTTGTACTGACCTGAATGGAGGTCGCATTGGTTTATCGCGAAGACAACTCGCTTTTGGTGCTGTGTAAACGGAATTCCCCTCGTATCGGAATACTCGGAAACCTGTGTTTTTGTTTAGAATTATTCTCTTGGTCAATTTTGTTATTTGCCTAACTGAAAAAGATTAGTTTCCTCCCTTGGTGTAATTATTATTTGTATTACAAGGGAGGGAAATGTACGTTTTCTTAACCACTTAGGGAGGAAAAGACATTTTCCTTTAGTGTTGATTAAGTAAAAATTAAAAAAATTAGGGTGCAGAATCTTATTAGCCCTTAGGGTCGAAGGAAAAAAACTATTTATAATCAACATGCAGAAAGGAAGTGGAATCCTGCAGAAACTGCTTAAAAAAAGATAGAAGTAGAAAAAGTTGAGGAAATGAAGGTAAAAAAAATGAGAAAGAAAAGATTTGTCCATGAAAAGAGAAAGTAAATTTGTTAAAAGAGAAAATCTGACTTAAAAAAATAAAAAAATAATTAAAATCATCACTAAAAGTACTCATCCTAATGATGTACGAGTTTTTTGTTCAAAAATAAAGAAGTTATCAGTGTTTTTACAACTTTTTTGGGTTAAATATCTAAAGATATTTCAAATCCAAATCCCGAAAATATTGGAAGAAATGAAAAATTACTCCATTGACTTTCGAAACTTCAACAAATGTTTCAATAAAAAGGAAATTAAAATGCTGTAGAAATTGCAAAAAAAAAGGTAAAAAAGGGGAAAATCTTTAGCATGAAAAACTGAAAATAGAAAAAATAAGAAAGAGAAGATTTGACCAAAAAAAGAGAAAGAAAGGTTGTTAAAAGAGCAAATGAAAATCAAAAAGATAAAAAATAACTAAAACCATTACTAAAATTACTCATCCTAATGATTTACGAGTTTTTGTTTGAAAATAAAGAAGTTATCAGTTAAATATCTAGAGATTTCAAATCTAAATCCCGAAGATATTAGTGAAAAAATGAAAAACTACTCCATTGACCTCCAAAGCGTCAACAAATGTTTCAATAAAAAGAAAATATAAAAGGGAATTTAAAAAAGGAATGTTAGAGAAGGAAAAAAAAACTATTGAAAAAAAATGTAATTGGAACTGAAAGGAATTGGAATGCGTAGAATTTGCAAAAAAAAATGATAAACGTGCAGAAATTCTTTAAGATAAGAAAATGACGACAAAAAAAATAAGAAAGAGAAAATTTGATCAAGAAAGATTGTTAAAAGAGAAAATCAAAATTAAAAAGATGAAGAAATAACTAAAATCATCACTAAAATTACTCATTCTAATGATGTACGAGTTTTTTGACAAAGAACAAAGAAGTTATCAGTGTTTTGACAATTTTTTGGGTTAAATATCCAAAAATACTGCAAATCCAAATTCCGAAAATATTGTTGAAGAAATAAAAAACTACTCCATTGAACTCCAAAGCGTCAACAGATGTTTCAAGAAAAAGAGGATAAAAAGGAATGTTGAAGAAAAAAAAACTATTGAATAAAAAAGTACCTAATTGGAATTGGAATACTTAAAAAAGGTAAATGTGGAGAAAATTTTTCAGATGGGAAAATGAAAATTGAAAAAAATGAGAAAGAGAAGATTTGACCAAGAAAGGAGGAAGTAAAGTTGTTAAAAGAGAAAATCAAAATTAAGAAGATAAAAAATAACTAAAACCATCACTAAAATTACCCATGCTAATGGTGTACGAGTTTTTGTTTGAAAATAAAGAAGTTATCAGTGTTTTGACAACTTTTTTGGGTTAAATATCTAAAGACGATATTTTAAATCCAAATCCCGAAAATATTGGAAGAAATAAAAAATTACTCCATTGACTTCCGAAACTTCAACAAATGTTTCAATAAAAAGGAAATTAAAAGAAAAAAATGTTGGAAAAAATGTAATTGGAACTGGAATTGGAATGCTGTAGAAATTGCAAAAAAAAAGGTAAAAAAGGAGAAAATCTTTAAGATGAGAAATTGAAGATAATAAAACTAAGAAAGAAAAGATTTGACCAAGAAAGGAGGAAGTAAAGTTGTTAAAAGAGAAAATGAAAATCAAAAAGATAAAAAATAACTAAAACCATTACGAAAATTAATCATCCTAACGATGTACGAGTTTTTGTTTGAAAATAAAGAAGTATCAGTGTTTTGAAAACTTTTTTGGGTTAAATATCTAGAGATTTCAAATCTAAATCCCGAAGATATTAGTGAAAAAATGAAAAACTACTCCATTGACCTCCAAAGCGTCAACAAATGTTTCAATAAAAAGGAAATTTAAAAAAGGAATGTTAGAGAAGGAAAAAAACTATTGAAAAAAAAATGTAATTGGAACTGGAAGGAATTGGAATGCGTAGAATTTGCAAAAAAATTGATAAATGTGCAGAAAATCTTTAAGATTAGAAAATGAAGACAGAAAGAGAAAATTTGACCAAGAAAAGAGAAAGAAAAGTTGTTAAAAGAGAAAATCAAAATTAAAAAGATGAAGAAATAACTAAAATCATCACCTCATCCTAATGATGTACCACTTTTTTGTCAAAAAACAAAGAAGTTATCAGTGTTTTGACAACTTTTTTGGATTGAATATCCAAAAATATTGCAAATCCAAATTCCGAAAATGTTGGTGAAAAAATAAAAAACTACTCCATTGACCTCCAAGACGTCAACAGATGTTTCAAGAAAAAGAAGCTAAAAAGAAACAAAAAGAAGAAAAAAAACTATCGGAAAAAATACAAAATTTTTTGTTACGATCCAGAAAATTGTTATTTCACGTATTACTTCTTATTTTTAACCACTATTTTCGAGAAAGTAATCATACATAGTAAGAGGTTTGCATCAAAAAGCATCAGTTTGAAAAATTTTTATTTTTATTAAATAAAACCCTCACTCAGGCCATACAATACTCTCAATCCACGAACGATACGTCGACACTCTTGTATAAACCCCTGCACTATTTTCCATCCCACAGGCTTTTCCAAACGACGTAATCCCAACAATAACAAAATGATCAGTAAGAAACCCAGATCCCTTTTTCAAAAAATGAAGCGGTCCGCCGGAATCACCCTGTATCAAAAAAAAATTTGATCAAATTCAACTCCATTTCAAAAAAATTACTTGACACGTGTCTTTCCCAATCCCCCCTGCACAAATCTGTATTTCATCAACCAAACCCCGTGGTAGTTTTCTACTCGAATTTGGAGAGTAGATTCGGGCACATTTTCCGAATTTCACCTCCTTGAGAAAAACTTTCAACAAATCACTGCTAGTATCACCAAAAAAATCGGTTTTCCCCCAACCAATTGCCTGTAATTGTTCACTAAAAACCCTAGTTTTGGTGTGTAAACATGCTGGTTTGGAGTATAGTCCAAATTTAACCGGGGATTTTAATTTGAGTAAAGCAATGTCGTGGTAGTGGAACCTTGAGTTGTAATTGGGGTGTTTAAAACTCTCCTCGATTTTAATTTCCTGCGGTTTTGCATCATCGGTGGTGTTTTTTAGGTTCAAATCGCCGACTCTCACCCATTTTGGGACCCCACTGTGCAAACACAACCCAGGTTTTGACATTTTTCACGCGAAAAGACTTACTTTTGGGAGGTGATGCAATGTGCTGCTGTTAGAACGAATTTTTCACTTATCAAACTTCCACCACACAACCATTCAATATTTTTAGCACTACCAAACCCAATCGCTGTCTAAAAAAACCTCAATTAGGGGTTTTACCAAGTTAAGGTTTACCATATGGGGAAATTCTTTCGGTTTAGCTTCCACTCCTCCAACAATCCCAGGAGACAAGTTCCTCTTATCGTTATACTCCTCACATTCTAAAATTTTCCCTCAAATTATCAGTTTTTCAACGATTAAAACTTGCTTTCTTCACTCTTTGTTTTCTTCAAACGTTGGATTATTTTTTGTGATGTTGGACAACAAACTATTATTGAATTTCCACTAACACCACAATTCTGGGGACGTTTCCCTTGACGTAACAATTCTTTAGCAAAGTCACAATTGTTTATATCAATGCATTGCCCCCTAAGTAGTGTTTTATTAACAACATTAGTGAAACAAGTATCACCTAAACAACAAATTCGATAGATAAAACAATAAATACGACGAGAATACCTTCAAAATTGAAAGCAACACAAATTCCAAAAACTGGAAACACAAAAATTAACCAATTCATTGTTATTTCTTCTTGGAAACTAAACTAATTCATTGCGTCAGAATTTTATTTTGATTCATTTATCATTTTTGCAAACATAAACAACGAATAATCAGTTGAGATTGTATTTATAATATATAATAATAATCACAAACACTTAATTATACAATTTTTAATCCAGTCGATTGTTAAAATATTGTTTAATCCGGTAGAGGATTTGTTATTTTGACAGTTTTGTGTTCTCTTCTAGTTTTTTTCGAGTTGGGGGGTTGAGGATCCTCAAGACCCCTTTTTTTGTGAGACTCACTATCAATGTGTTTTTTGTTTGAGTTTGAGGTTCCTCCTCCCTTTTTTGTTTATAATTAAACTTGGTTTTATCAAACAGTCAGTTTTAAGCCGGAAATGGATTTTTTGGCTCTAGACTCCATGAAATCCATGAAAAAACGTCATTTCTTTCTTGATTTTTTGTTTCAATATTTTTTTATTTTTTCACATTTTGCTTCTTGTAAGAAATTTTCTTAAATCGATGCAAAAACATGTTCTAAATACACTTTTTTGGGTTTTTTGTTCGATTTTACTTATTTTTGTTCAATTAATGTAAAATATTGCAAAAATATGGTCTGAAATGAGTTATTTCATTTTTCAACAAGAATCGGTTTTGTTGTTAATGTACTTTTTTCACTAAGAATTTTTTAATTATTTATATTTAATTTTGGTTTTATCAAACAGTCAGTTTTAAGCCGGAAATGGATATTTTTTGGCTCTAAACTCTCAATAAATGCACGAAAAAACGTGATTTCTTTCTTAACTTTTTGTTTCAATATGCTTTTTAAAATTTATTTTCACTTTTTGTTTTTTTTTTATATATTTTGATTCTTGTAAAAATTTTATTAAATCGATGCAAAAACATGTTCTAGATACACTTTTTTCGGGTTTTTTGTTCGATTTACATATTTTTTAAAACGAGTTGTTTTAATTTAAAAAAATTGCAAAAATCTGGTTGAAATGAGTTATTTTGTTTTGTTTCCTTCAATCTGGCTTATTTTGAGTTGGGTTTATTTTGTTGAATAAATGCCAGAAATCGCAAAATTAATTAATTTCTTTTATGAAAACTATTTTACACGATTTTATTCTATCAGGAGAAAAAACCTCAAGAACAGGTTCTGAATTATCTTTTTTGGGCTTGGAATCAAGTTTATTAAAAATTTTGAACAAATTATATAAAAAATTGTTGTAAAGTGTTGTTTACGACTCAAGAGCCCCAATAAAAGAATTTTGAAAAGAAAAAAAAATTGTGGTATATTAATTTTTTCACCAATAAGATAAAAAATCACCAACTGACCATTATTAATTATCCAGTAAGATAAAATATAAATAAATATAATATGAAATATTATTTTATGCACTTTTTCCATTTTTTACTAATAGTGAAAAATAAACTAGAAATATAAATTTCACGCCATCTGTCGTCTTAAAATCAAACTAAAACTTGTTCCTCTTCACCCTTAATGACACTCAATCAAAACAAAATTAAAACAATTTAATTTTTGAAATAATAGCCATATTTGGATACGTTTGGGTTGAGGAGCTTGAACCCCCAGTCAATGATCCGAGAGAAAAAAAATTTTTGGTGACAATGGTCGCAATATCGCCGAAAAAATTCTGTATGTGTCCTTTGTACTTCCTCGTTTTGAACATTTCGTGAATCGGGACGAAATCAGAATTGTTTTCTTATTAAATTTTTGTAAAATAAAGAAATCCGTGGTCTTGAAAAATTGTTGTTGTTTGTATTTTCAAAGATAGAGAGGAATTAGTTTAAAGATTGTAAAAAAAGTGAACGATTAACCTGTTTTGATGCACTAAACACGATACAACTCAAAATTTGCAAATTAGAAAGACAAAAATAAAGATAAATATAAAGATTGAAAGACATCTTAAAAAAGTAGAAAAGAAGTAAAAAAAGAACATAAAAAAATAAAGATTTCAAAATTAAAACAAACATTTAACGATAAAGATAAAAATATAAGATTGAAAGACATCTTAAAAAGTAGAAAGTGTATAAAAACTAAATAAAAAAAACTGGCTTTCTTCACTCTTTGTTTTCTTCAAACGTTGTGTTATTTTTTGTGATGTTAGACAACAAGCAACACAAATTCCAAAAACTGGAAACTCAAAAATAAGTTATTTCTTCTTGGAAACTAATTCTTATTTGTGTCACAATTTTGTTTTGATTCATTTATCATTTTTGCAAACATAAACAACGAATAATCAGTTGAGATTTTATTTATTGAGTGGGCTTCCAGTGTACAATAAACGGTCTATAATCACAAATACTTTCCTTAATTATACAATTTTTAATCCATTCAGTTGTTACATGTTTCACGTCTGAACCACACTTCAAAATTTTGGGTACCATATTGTTTAAATGCACCATATGGGTGGCATTTTCCCCATTTTTGCAGATTTGACCACCATATGCAACAAAGTGCCTAATTAGGTCCCATTGCTTTTCTCTCACTTCCTCATCCAAGAGTGCTTTAATATCGTGGAAATAATCCGGTAGAGGATTTCTTATTTTGACAGTTTTGTGTTCTGTTTTGATTTTCTTCGAGTTTGAAGGTTGAGGATCCTCAAGACCCCTTTTTTTGTGAGATTCAGTGTGTTTTTTGTTTGAGTTTGAGGGTTGAGGATCCTCCTCTCTATTTAACAGCAAACTAATATCAGTGTTTTCCTTCGATTTGGTGTAGAGTATTTTGAGTTCTTGAAGGGAAGTGGCCGATTCCCAACTCTTATCATCCCTTATCTTGGTAACTCGAGGGAATCTGATCGAAATACCGGCCGTGTGCACCTCATGTTGGGTGAATTCCGCCCCTGTAATCTCCCAAATGGGTTGTTTTTTCGGGTCACGTGCTACGAAATCCGGTACCATTGTTTTGGTGCAATGTAACCAATCGGGTACTTTCGTGATTTTGACCATATCAAGCTCGGATTGTAACCTTTCAAGGGTTTTATCATCATGTCCTGTTGATACTTTCGAAACGGTGCAAAATCGATCATTGGGGGCGTCATAGCACCCCATTAGGAAAATCGACATGATGCCCCCTTTTTTCCCAGTACCGTACCACGCACCTAGGACTATCAAATCAGCACTATCGGCCATAGCCCCCCCGAAGAGGTAATCCTTCTTGACTTTGAGCCAATGTCGTTTACCCGGCTCATAAACACTTGTTAGGTCTTTGAGTACCAAACCTTCAAGCCCCAATTTGAGTACTTTAGCAATCATTTGAGTCAAGTCTTTAGGATCGTGGATTTCCTCCATTTCTGAGAAGACTATATGGTTGGGGATTTCAGTCATGTTCTCTTTCAGGATTTTCTTCCTCAACGAAATGGGTTTATCGGTGAGGATCTCCCCATTGTAGTAGATACAATCAAAGACGAAAAGACACACACTGGCGTCTTTAAACTCCGATTTTTTGTGCACCCCCAAAGTACCAAACGGGAGTGGTCTACCAGTTTGAGTATCAATCATCAAAATTTCACTATCAAGGATCAAATCCCTCCCATGTGGGAACGCCTGGGGGATGTAGTTTTTGAAATGTGCCACTTTGTGTGCCAATACCGGTTTTAAACTCCTCGAAAAGTACTTAAAATCTGATCCTTGTTTATGCACTTGGACTCTCTCCCCATCATATTTAATTTCCGAGTACATTCCATTGGGGCACTTCTTCATTGCTTGCTCCACTGACTTGCAAGCTTCCGCAAGCATGGGCAACACCGGAGTCATTAACACGATCCTAGCTTTAGCCCCCTTGTCTTTCAAACAACGCCCAATCACAGTCTTGATATCCCTCGAAGACTGGAAGGCTTGATAAGCATCAGGATGTACCCCATCTAGGACATGTTTCGCCCCTGCATTCATCCGTAGATCATGTTTGATCAATCTTACAACAATTTTCAAGTCATTTGGAGTGCATTTTGAGGCAAATGACTTCAAATGTGTCATTTGTTCCTCCTCTTTGGTCAAATTCGTGAGTTCGTCGAGGAACAAATCGACTTGTTGGAGACTCAAAGTACTTTTTTTCGCCGGTTTAAACGCTTTGCTCCTTTCGTAAAACACCTGAATCGTCTCACTGACATCGCCTTGGTCCAAATGCTCCAACATTGCGTCTTGATCACACTGGAAAATCTTACTAAACAACTTCACCAATTGTTTACTTTGAAGGTTGTAAATGCGTTTGACGACACCGGGGAGGAGTAAACGGCACCAGAGGACAATATCGCCCTTAAAACCCGTACCATCGCTCCCTTTTGTCAACATTTTACCAACAATGCTTGTCTTTTCAAGATAACTACTGACGTTGCTAATATCAGCTACAACTCTTCGGAATTCGCGAAATTGGTTGTCTTTGTGTGACGGGTCAAAGTGGGGGATGGGGTCCGTGCTACTAGTGCTCGGTTTTGCCTCTTGTGGGGGCTTTTTCGGGCTCGGTTTAACCCCAAAATGATTGTTACATTCCTCCACACGCCGTGAAATGTCATTCCGATTTTCATCATCCAGGGAATCCCAACCGGCGATGTCATCACCAGGATCATCAATGCGTTTAGTTGTAGGCCTCTGCTTTGAGAAAACTTCAAAAATGCAGGGGACATGATACCAGTTTTTCATTTTTCCGTCCCCGAAAGGGTTGGCAACTAACTTGGCGATGCGCAACTCGCCCTGGAGACACTTCTGTTTGCATTTTTTACACACAGCGCGCCCCTGCTTTGCTATCTCGACCAGAAAAGGCTTCTCAATGGGATCATCTGACATCTAAAAGTGAGGTTATGTAATGTGACATTAGAAATTCACATTTATACCTTTAGCGGATAAAAAGAAACGAATTTTGCATCGAAAACGATACAAAAACAATTAATTTATTTCTTCACACAATAAATAAAATAAATAAAGGTGATTCTTGCGGCTTAGAAGCGTTGACATCTGAAAGTGAGGTTTGGTAATGTGACACTCGAAATTCAATTTTATACTAGTGGTAAATGAAACGAACAGAAATTTGGATCAAAATCAATACAAAATTAATTAATTTATTTTTTCACAATAAATAAAACCGATCATTGCGTCACAAAACCGTTGACATTGACATGTAAAAGTCAGGTTATGTAATGTTACACTCAAAATTCAAATTTATACCTTTGGTAAATAAAAACAACACAAATTTGAATCGAAAACAACATAAAAATAATTAATTCGTATTTTCACAATAAATAAAATAATTAAATGCGAGCTTTGGGTCACAAAACCGTTGATATCTAAAAGTGAGGTTATGTAATGTTACGCTCGAAATTCAAATTTACCCTTTTGGTAAACAAAAAAGCAAGAATTTCACAACAGTTTTGTTGAATTAAGGGCTCCGGTGAGTATTTGTGTTGTTTTTCGTGCTTACATAACCTAACTTTCAGATGTCAGACCCCCCTTATGAGAAGCCCTTCGCGGTGGAAATCGCCAAGCAGGGGCGCGCCTTTTGCAAAAAATGCCGCCAAAGGTGTGTTCAAGGCGACTTGCGCATCGCTAAACTAATCCCGAACCCTTTGGGTTCCGGTAAAATGAAATCCTGGTACCACGTCGCTTGCATCTTTGAAACGTTTCTAAAACAAAGACAAACCACTAAAAGAATCGAGGGCCCCCACGATATCGACGGTTGGGAGTCACTCGACCCTGACGACAAAGTAAATATCTTGGAGAGAATCTCCGCATGTAATCGGGAATTTGAAGCAAAGTTTAGTAAAGCAAGAAGGGGGAAACGGGGCTGTAGGGCGCCCCCACAAGTCGACGACAACCTCAGCGTCTTATCAGACGGTTTCGCGAACGAGGGGGTGCACAAAGACAATTGTTTTCGCGAATTTCGCACAATTGTCGCGAAAGTCTCAAACGTCTCAAGTTCGGAGGAGAAAATCGCGATTTTCCGCGAGACTTTCACGAAAGGGAGCGACGGGGGCGGTTTCAAGGGGGATATCACACTCTGGTGCAAACTGCTCCTCCCGACTGTCATGAAACGGGTTTTTCACTTACAAACCAAACAATTAATTAAAATATTTAGCAAGATTTTTGGGGTTAGTGATGAGGCCATGACGGGGCACCTAGAACAGGGCGATGTGGGGCAAACCATCCAGCATTTTTTCGAAGACAACTCCGAATGCAAACCGGCGAAAAAAAGCACTTTGAGCATCTTCGAAGTGGACGATTTCCTCGAATCTTTAACCACAATTTCCAAAGAGGAGGACCAATGCAAAGTCTTCAAGACTTTCATCAAAAAATGCACCGGTAATGACCTGAAAGTGGTCGTGAGACTCATCAAGCACGACTTGAGGATGAACGCGGGGGCGAAGCATGTCTTCAAGGGGCTGCATCCGGACGCGTATTTGGTCTTCCAGTCGTGCAGAGACATCAAAACTGTGCTTAACAAGTGTTGGGGGGAGCCCCCCGCCAAGAAACGGGTTAAAACCAAACGTATTCCGAATTATTTCGAAAATGTTAGGTTGTTCTTGGAGGAGGGGGTGAAGGAGAGACATGCCGAATGGGTGCAGTATTTCATCGCCTATGGGGGGAGTGTCCTCACAGGGGGCGAAGGTGAAGAAGCCACTCATATTTTGCATTTGAAAGACACCATTTCGGAGCCCACGATTCAGTGTGGCAACAGTGCAAAACATGTTATTGTTGAGTGGATCAAGGATACCGTGGCGAAGGAGAATTTGCAGGATTATAGGCCCTATACAGTACGGTGGGATCCTTGTCACAAGGATTAATGTTTTTTTAATAAAACAATAAAATTTCGCATTGTTTATAAATGTGAAAAATAATAAAAATATATCGTGGGTTTTAATCCAATTAAGTTTTAAAACCCGAATCCATCACTTTAAATTTATTCGTTTCTTATCGATTCTACAAAAAATTAATTTGTGTTAAAACGAATCAAGTTTTGTAATAAACTCACGTTTTGCTGTGTTAATTTTTCTTTAATTAAACAATTGTGATTAATAATTACTCAGCACAGCCATATTTGGGATTTATGGTTCATATAACGGAATTAAATACCAAATGGGGGTCAATCTGGCTTATTAGACGAGAGAAAACTCCATAAAAATAAAATAAATAAGTAAAAGAAACGAAAAAGTAAAATGATGAAATTATTTCAAACTTCGTTTTTTCTAATTAATAATATAATGTGATTTTCAAGTGTCAAAACTGATTTGTTTTTGTTACAAATGACAAAATCCTAGCTGAAACACTCTGTGTAATAAAAAAACTTGGTTCAAACAAAAATGAGCATCAATTTATCACTTTTTCTGAAAGGAAGGAAAGGATAAAACAACAGATTAAAGAAGGAAGAAAAATAAGAGACAAAACGAAATTTGTAGAATAAATAGAATAAGAGAAAGAATGAAACAAAAAGCCCAAATTACAAAGAGAAAAATTAAAAACAAAGTACGAAAAACGTTTTTAAATTAGAAATTCTCTTAAACAGAGCACAAAAATGTACAAAAGGACTGTTAATTGTTTTTTTTACTTTTCATTTATTACGAACAAGTAAGAAAATCTTAGCTGACACACGCTGTGTAATAAAAGTGGGCATTGATTTATCGTTTTTTCTAAAAGGGAGTAAAAAAATTGAACAAAGTAACTCAAAAAGTAAAGGGGAAAAAGGAAAGAAAAATAATAAGAGATAAATAGAAGAAACAAGGAAGAAAAGAATACAACTCATGTGTAAATAAAAGAAAAAAGAGCGGAAAAAAAACCAAATTTTCACAAAAAGTAGATAATAAAGAAAATTGTGAAAAAATAACAGTAAAGTTGAAAAAAAAAATTGAGTTAAAAAACTACGAAAAATTATACTAAATTAGTTTAGAAATTATTACAAAACCAAACTGTAAAAATTGGTTTTTTATGTTGCCACAGCAAAAATGTAATACGAGAAATTTAAACACTATATGGCGGTCAAAGTGGCTTATTAGACAATCATAACGAAAAAAACTCCATAAAAATAGAACAAATGTGAATAAAAAGAAGTAAAAGAAACAAAAAAGTAAAATGATGAAATTATTTCAAACTTCGTTCTTTCTAATTAATGATATATCGTGTTTTTAAACTGTAAAAACTGATTTGTTTTTGTTACAAATGAAAAAATCCTTGCTGAAACAGCTTGTGTAATAAAAAAACTTGGTTCAAACAAAAAATGAGCATCAATTTATCACTTTTTTCGAAAAGGAAGGAAAGGATAGACCAAAAAATTAAAAGATAAACGCGAAAGAAAGAATAAAAATAAGAAACAAACCAAATTTGTAGAAACACGGGACAAAAAAAAACAAAAAACCCAAATTACAAAAAATTGATAAAGTAACCCAAGAGAAAAGTTAAAAAAAAGTAGGAAAAGCGTTTTTAAATTAGAAATTCTCTTAAAATTCTCATCTAAATAGAGAACAAAAATGTACAAAAGGGCCTTTAACTGTTTTTTTTTTTGCTTTTCATTTATTACGAACAAGTAAAATCTTACCTGACACATGCTGTGTAATAAAACAAAAAAGTGGGCACTGATTTATCGTTTTTTCTAAAAGGGAGTAAAAAAATTGAACAAAGTAACTCAAAAATTAAAGGAGAAAAGAGGAAAGAGAAATAATAAGAGACAAATTTGAAGAAACAAGGGAGAAAAGAATACAACTCATGTGTAAATAAAAGAAAAAATAGCGGTGGAAAAGAAAACAAAATTTTCATAAAAAGTAGATAATAAAGAGAATTGTGAAAAAAGACAGAAAAGTTAAAAAAATAAAAATTGCGTTGAAAAACTACGAAAAATGTTTTAAAATTATATTAAATTAGTTTAGAAATTATTTTCAATCCGAACTGTTAAAATTGTTTTTTTTTCATATTGCCACAATAAAAGTGTAAAGCAAGAAAATTAAATATATGAGGGTCAATCTGGCTTATTAGACAATCAAAACGAGAAAAAACCCCATAAAAATAGAACAAATGTGAATAAAAAGAAGTAAAAGAAACAAAAAAGTAAATGATGAAATTATTTCAAACTTCGTTCTTTGTAGGTAATTAATTATATAACGTGTTTTTAAACTGTCAAAACTGATTTGTTTTTGTTATAACTGAAAAAATCCTTGCTGTATAATAAAAAAAAATTGCCTCAAACAAAAAATTAGCATCAATATATAACTTTTTCTAAAAGAAGTAAGAGATTGAACAAAAAATTAAAGGATAAACGCGAAAGAAAGAAGAAAAATAAAAGACAAAACCAAATTTGTAGAAACAAGGGACAAAATACCTAGAATAAGAGAAAGAATAAAACAAAAAACCCAAAGAATTGATAAAGTAACCCAAGAGAAAAGTTAAAAAGAAGTACAAAAAGCGTTTTTAAATTAGAAATTCTCTTAAAATTTTAATCTAAATAGAGCACAAAAATGCACAAAAAGACTGTTGAATGGTTTTTTGCTTTTCATTTATCACGAACAAGTAATTATAAAAAAAACAGAAAAGTTTAAAAAATTGAGTTAAACTACGAAAAATTATCAAACCGAATTGTTAAAATTGTTTTTTTGTTATGTTGCCACTGCAAAAGTGTCAAACAAGAAAATCTGACACACCGTGTGTAAAAAATAACAAAGAAACGCGAAAACAGAAAAAAACACACAGTAGAACTCTTGTGTAAACAAAAGAAAAAATAAAACGGTACAAAAGAAATCAAAATTAACACAAAAAGCCAAAAAAAAAGAGAAAAGTTGAAAAATCAAAATTGAGTTCAAAAACCGTGTAAATATAAGGCATAAAAATGTTTTAACTTTTTTAATTGTGAAATAATTTTCCTGTCGTTTAATAAAAACAAAATTGTAGAATAATTTTCGAACTGAAAATATAGCGGATCCTGTGTCCACGTGAGCATGAAACACAATTTTTAATGATAAAATTGGGCCATTATAATTTCACCAAAAAATTAATTATAGTTTAATTAGCGATTTGATTCCTTCTTGCTCATGCGCATTGGAATTGTGTGATATTATAAAAGCCGGAGTACCGGAGGAAATTACTTTGATACTTAGATCAACGGGTGTCGCATCGCTGACATCGGGTGACTGTGTCTCTTGTTTCGTAAAACTTTTCAACTTATTTTCAAACAAAAATCATGGTAAGTGCTTTTATTTTTTTTATTATTTATTTAGTATTTATTAAAAAAAAAACTTCACACTTCAAATTTCTAGAAATGCATCAGACGGTGAACAATCCGTTTCTGTAAATATAAATAAATTTTCGGATTGCATTTTTCATCCTATTTACTTTTTATTAAAAAAAAATGCAACGGTTTAATATAAAATTCCACTAAATTTGTTTAATGAAGTAGCAAAACCGTAAAATTTTGAATAATCTTGCCTCGAATCGCTTGACTTGAATCCGTGAGTCATTCTTGTAAATTGGGCCCCTTTTATTTTTGTTCACATGTCCGTGAATGTATCTTTACAATGACTAAGAAGTCGAACTAATCATTGTCGCACCCCTTGGGTGAGGTGAATCGTTGATTCGGTAAGTATTTTTTAATTCGAGTAAATTGCACTTTAAGTACCAAGGACGAAAAATTATATTAATTCATAGTTGACCGAAAAAAAGTCGTGTGCGGTGGCCCACGCAAATGCCTCACCCTTTCATTAAATTAATCAAGTGAATTACCTAATTGCAAGAGACTACCCCTGCATGCTGAGGAAATGAGGATCATTATTTTGTCAATTCTGCCTGATTACGAACATTAATTTTGATTGGTTATCATTTTACAAGTGGGTTTTAAAATGATAAAATATTGTAAAATGTAAAAATAAATATTGCGTTTGGTGATTATCAATTTTCGATAAATGTGCTTTAACATTTTTTAAGATCTCTCAGTGTGATTAAAATTTTTCCTTTTTAATATTGTTAATTAACTTTTGAAAAAGTAATAAAAACATCCATTTGCAATTGTGACGGATTTATCTTTTTTAATAATTCACAATTAAAACAGTGCCAATAAAATTTTTCAAACAAAACAGGGTTTTTTATTCGGCTTCGATCTTAAAAAAGATGTAGAATTTTTTTTTTATAATCTTTGGTGAATGATAGAAAATTTCTATAAAAAAGCTTTTCTGGAAGACATGAACTATTCGTCGGGAAAAAAGTTTACAAAAATTTTTATTTCGTATTTACAATTTGAGGGAAAAAATGGAAAAGAATTTTTTTTTATTATTCAAGAAAACTTGAAGTGAATTTCCATAAAAAATTCCTGGAAAATTCAAC